CTCGCAACAAGCTGTCAACTAATTTGAAATATGAGTGTAATTTGCATTGACCAGTATTATCAAAGAAAATAAAAGTAGCCAAGATCTTTCTTTTCTTTCCTTCTGCTTTTTTTTTTCTGGTTTATATGAAAACTTCCAACTCCTTTTTTTCATTTGATATGAATCCAACATAATTCGCATTTAAATTACGTTTCTTTCCTTCCTTTCTTTCGTGCTCAAGTTTCACACGTTAACATGTAAATACACATTTGGAGAAGGAGACCGAGTGAAGAGGAGGAAATGAGAAAAGGAGTGGAAGGGGAGAAAATATTGGAAGTGAGGGATTAAGGAAGAGTACTCAAGAAATTTGTGCAGGTGACTTAAAGTTGTACCACTGTTATACGTTGAGTTAATTTAAGAATTGAAATAACGCTTGTTTGATAAGAAATCTGGTTATGAAATTAGAGCAGAACTTTCATTTACCTTTAATTTTAGCACTGCTAGTCATAATAAGACTTGAGAATGAACGCGTCTAAAATTTGGAGCTTATATATCAACAGTAATAAATGAAAATATGCTAAACCTGAGTCTTCAGACGTTTTTGCATGTGTAACTTTCTTGATTGCGTTGCAGATGAGTAAATCTAGACACTCAGATGAGGATTTTTGACAGTCAACTGAAAGTTTCTCACCGTATAATTTACTATTATACAAAGTAAAATATAGAGGTTTTGTGCTTTATGTAACTTTCTATTAACTTAAAATAATGACATATCTTCTTAAACATGTAATTATCTACTGGCTTTATGCTTCTCTTTTTATTAGTGGCACCAGCATTTCACTTAGATTCTTTATTTAAAAATTTTGGAGCTTGAACAGACTCACCTCTTGAAGAGCAGGTAGTAGTTTACCACCCTTAAGGTCTTGAGAAAAAGGCTGATACCTATGCTGTTTAATCAACAATAAATTTAGTTGGGAAGCACAGAAGTTTGCAAAAGTGAAACTCATTATCTATCCGTAAATTAATTACAATAAACAGTTTTTGAGATATCAAAAGCATTCATTTGTCTTGTGGTTACCTTTTGAATAAAGAGGAGTTTTCGGTTTATATTCAATAGTTCAAGAACATTTATTATATATTTACCTCATATAGTAGTAACTAAGTCCTTCCTTTATGTAGTACAGGAAGAGTTGAGTTATTTGAGTAATACTATTGCGAATAGCTTAAATTAGCTTCATGGTTGTCGTAAATAAAAGAACGCTAGAGTGCACGCTTAGTATTCTTTAGTATAGACAGATACTGTAAATTTGTGGTAGGTCTTTTTCAAAATAGTAGAATTTTTAACTACCATTTAGACTCTAAAATTACAGTTTTTTCTCTTCCAATTTCATTGCTGAAGACAGTGAAACATTGAGTGAAATAGCCTACTTTTTTATTGTCTGTTAGTTTTGAAAAGATGAAAAAAAAAAAAACAAAGAGTCATAGCTTATAATAGAAGAAAAAATGAAAAAAATTTTCACCGACAATAAGGTAAATGGATCAGACTTTGTCTAAACAATAACATTTTATGAGTCGGTTTTTGTCACTTTTTTTACTTAAAGTTCGAGGTAACTGCACTTTATTGTTGTTTCTTAGAATGTCGTCTAGGGGTTAATTAATAAGACGGCTTTTTTCCTCGTTCTTTTATTTGGTAAGTTTGAAAACTTTGATGAAAAATGATCCTCTGTCTGGTCAAGGTAAGTTAACCTACTTTTTAATTTACCATACTGCTACAATTCTGTTCATAAAAAAACGAAAATAAAAAGTGATGCAGTATAAAACAGATGATTCAATAATAAAAGAAGCAGCAATACTTTTAATGATTATTGGGAAAATACGATGACCAACACTGTATTAACAACTGATATATGGATAAAAAAGTGGGCAGCATTAGTATGGTACTCCCTTTTCAGTTGTCAGCATATATATATAAATATAATTTGGCAAAATTTCAATTATTCTGACTACTATGCCGTTATTGCTCCATTTTTAATGCCTGGACGCAGCAGATACGGTATATTCAAAATTAGAAGGAAAACCTTTACCGTAGGAATTGGCTTTGGTCTGGTGTTAGTTGAAATTTTGGATTTTGAACGACAATTAGGAATTGATTAATGTGACTTAATATTTCGTAAGTTAAATTCCTTTCCTTTTTTAGGTGCCACTCAACAGTTCCTTCTGCTAAAATACTTTCAAAATAATTGCTGTGTAGCAAATAGCACTGAAATATAGTTGTAAAAAGCGGCATAATCCAAAAGAACTAACTGTGACGGCAGTAATGCTGTCGGAAAATATTGAACAAAATAACAAATCAGTTTTGTAATCAGGTAATGAATAAACGATTAGAATCAGATCGGACAACAGTTTATAGTGACGACATTGATAGTAATAATAACAGGGACAGTATTAGTAGTCATAATCATAATGTAGTAGCAATGATAATAAAAATGACAATAATAGTAGTAATTGTGGCTCTTTTTTATCTTACCGACTTGAAGTTAACTCTTTTTTTTATTTATTTGTTCTCTCTTCTCTCTCTTAAATTAATTTTAGTCTCAATATACTTGAATCACCAACAACATTATCTGTTGACACCTATTCAAGCACCAAAACGGTATACTGATGCTATCCACTTTTGGTTATTTCATAGTAACAGTTGGTGCAGATTGATGAAGAAAGCATTTTTATCAAACTTAAATTGCAAATTTTACTTATATTTGCTGTCATTTGAGCAAAGTTGTACAGAGGAAGAACTGCTGGATGAAACTCTGTTTAACACTCCTTTCTTATTCTGTAGAAAGAAGGAGAACTTAGAAAAGGGGGTCGAGAGGAGTGAGGGAGAGTGAAAGTAAGGACAACGGACTGGAAAAGGACTGGGAAAAGAAGACAGAAGAAATACAGGAAGAGTAATACTGCAATTATTTAACAACAAAACCTTTTTTTGAACATTTTGCTTAGTATTTTCAGTAGTTTTTTAATGGCACAAAAAAAAAAGAAAATTATTTTTTCTTTCTTTTACTTTCATGTATTCATTTTCTTCATTCGTCTTTTTATAACCTAATTTCAATGCAGTTTATTATAAGGCGCAATAAGATATTTTGAATAAATATTGGGAGCATTTGCAATTTTTTTTTGACAATTAACTCTGATAGAGAAAATTATTCTGTTCTCATCGATGATGCAGCGACGAATATGGAACACGGCTACGGAGAAGGCAGAGGAGAAAGCCAGACATTTTTCAAATGCATAAACAGACAAACGAATAGCACACAGATACAATCGGTGGTTTATACACTTAATTTCGCACACACAAATACATACGCTTCTTTCACAGCTCTTAGTCAATATGGTTCGAGCTGGGGATTTTTTTTTTTTTTCCTGCCATTGCCGTTCCCTTTTTTTTTTTTTTTTTTTTTTTAA